ATACTCATGTCCCCAGTGCGATAAGCTTCACAAATTCCTATGAAGTTATTATACCTCAAAAGGATCGCTATGATGGAAATATGAGTAGTAAATAAGGAGTTTAAAGTTAATAACTCATATAATTGATCAAGACATAACCAGAGACATAAATTAAATACAGAAATTTGATGAACATTAAAATAAAGGAAAATTCAAAGAGTGGAGAAGATAGACACAAAGGAAAACCTTAGGAGGAAGAGGACAAAACACTATAAATGCTTTGGATAATCGAACTCTAGTCTCTTTGGCTAGAACAGGTTTCAAATAATTCTATATCTAGTTAAACTTATTATTTTCTTTAACTTGTTAAAAAAATATGAATGAATGAATTATGAAATAAAATTCATATTTTGATCCAAATGACATTATTATAGTTAATCATTACATCCGAAATATATTTGTTTTGAAGCTTGAAATTTTGTATATTTTATCTTTCACTCTTTAAGATTTGATTTCTTTAAATAAAAAATTTTAATAAAAAAAATAGATAACATTATTAGGGTTAATTACTATTCAAAATATTACCAATTTTAAAACTTGAAACTTTGCCAAAAACATGAAAAAAAAATACTTAAACTCTTATTGACATTAACTACTAAGCGACTTAATAATACTGAGTGTACAGAAAGAGTTTATAAATCACTTTTTTTTTGTTAAATGAGTTTAGTGTATCCAAGCATGTAAAAAGGAAAATAAACTCACTAAAAACTATCATTCAAAATGGAAGTGTAATGTTTTAATAGTGAAATTGAAGAAATAAAAGTAACTATTTAACTTGGTTGTTTTCAGTGAAGGTTTTGTTTGGATACATTGACTGTTGGACAGTTGAAGCAGTAAAATGAAACATGAACCCTGATTGAGGAAGAAAACCTAAACCGACACAGGCTTTTGCGTTGTGTAAAGTCAAACGAGGAATTTGGAACCAGGCTGTCCAATCCCATAATAATGCGGTCGATGTGGGACCTCGACTTTTACGATCGTTCTTTCTTTTCCATACTCAACTGAATATGTTAATGCTTTCTTATTTTATGTTTCTCTTTCAATTTTATTATATATTTTTTATGGTTTATAATTTTTTAATCCTATTAATTTGTTCTATTCTACCCATATATTTCTGTTTTTTTCTATAAAATAGGTAAATAAATAAAATCCTATATGTGCAATCAGAATATTTATTTATCAACAAATGATTCAATTCTTAAACATTATAGAATGGTGGAGGAAGTTAAACATCCTTGTCCATTGATTACGGCCGAAAAGACAGCTTTATTGCGGAATCCTAAAATTGTTTGATTTTGGTACACGCGGTTTGAGTTGGCTCCACAACAATTAGGCTTACACTCATAAAAATATAGCTTTTTTTTTATCATAAACAAAAACTTACAAAAATAAATCACTTTTCACCAACTAGTTTTTCTACCTAAACAAAACCAAAATCAGAAGGTTTAATTTTTTTTTTTAAATTTATTGTGCCAATAATTTTGGTTTTTATGGTTTTAATTATTTAATAAAGTTTTTAAAAATTGATTTTGATCACAAAGTTTTTATTTAACAAATTGATTTTGATCACATTTAAAAATTAATTATTTTTTTTTAATCACAAAAAAGATTCCTTTTTCATTTGGGTCTCAACATTTTTTTATTAAAAATATGTTTTTCAAAAATCATATTTTTCATTATACATTTGGGTATCTCAATAAATTTTATTTAGATACACAACGAGGATACATATATATAATGTGTCTTGACAAGATTTTACCAATATATATTGCAAAAACGTATTTTATTGTACATTAAGACAAGATCTATGGAGCCATTATACAAAATATATAGTGTTTTTGTAAAAACAAAAAAGAGTTTGAACTTAGTAAAAAAATGATGTGGATTTAGAGAAACCCACTAGTTGGTCCAATAATCCCTTATTGGAATTGGACTTCAATATCTTGTTCTTCTTCCTTCTCTAATTTCTTAAACCAATCTCTTCAACCTCATTTTCTACAAAATCACATTTTTCTTCCTCTACTTACATACTTTCTTCTTTCATACCAATAATATATATAAAAAATATATATCACATATACTTAGAATTATACATGTTAGGAAGTTTATATTTTATAATTCAAAACCTAACTATGAATTATACAATTTAAAACTAAATTACACAATCTGAAATATACTTCTAAATTATCTTATTTAAGATAATATTACATATAGTTATATCTTACGTAGTTAAAAATATATTGTTGTAAATAACGTAATTCAGAAGTATTTTAAAATGGTTTCAAATTGATTTAAACACATTAATATTTTTTTAATATAGAGTTAGGAGAATAAATTATAGAGGAGTAAAAAGAGAAACCCCTTAATTACTCTATGGATCCAATGTTCTTGCCCTAAAAAGGTAAAATATGAACACATTAACATTAATTACGTAAAATAAATGTATTGATAATAGCTTTTTGAGAGTTTATTTAGTAGAAATGGTTTTAAATGTATAGCCATGATTTTATTTATTTTTTATTTTGTTAAAGGTAGTTCAACTTTAAAATCAAGTGATACAATAGTTTTCCATTTAGTTTGGCAAGCTTTTGAGACAATAACCAAATACTTTTGAAACTTTGGAAGTATAACCTAATACCAACAAATCAAAAAAGAGACATAAACACACAAATATATATGCCAAAAAAGCAAAAGACAAAAGAATTAGACAGAAAATAAATAATTAAAGCAGAAGTGTTAATTAAAAGATGACTTCTATAGTTTATTGTATGTTTTTGCTGAATGGGACCGGGAAAAGTTCCTGTTACCTCCGTCCGGAAACACTCCTCCTTCTCCGATCGGTCCTGCTCTTCTCGCACCTCTTCCTCACACCAATGGGTTGACCTGCAGCAAACACAGCAAACACTCTGACGCTCAAGTTAGAATGGGCTCTTGCAAGTCTATAATTATCAAAGAACAGAGAGTTTACCTTCTCCTTTGACTACTATTTATATGATTTCAGAGAATATTACCCATTAATTTACCTCTTTATGGCTTTCAATGCACACTTTAAATACTCGACAATGACCGTTACCTCATTAACTACACATTCATGAGCATTCAACTGCTGTCTCCAGTCAACAGTTTTATACATCTGCTCGATCGGACACGTACTAAGGAGTTCCGATCGGACTTATCAGGCTGGAACACCCGATCGGTTATGTTTAGCCTTTCCGATCGGTTGCCCGCCCTCGGTAGTAACATTGTAGAAAAAATATATGTGAAATAAAGTCGTATTTTAAAAATCATATATCTATCTATTGTAATAAATTTAGAATTCATCCATTTATTTATTTTTTAAAAATATCCACTTTAGTTTTCTTAAAAACTAAGTTGGTTAAATCTATCATTTTCCTTAAAAAATAAAGTTGGGAAAATCTAAATTTTGAAGCCCACACTAAAATAAATTAGGTCTTTTCCATGTTAACTGTTCTTATTTTTGACAAAAATTGAATTTGGTGGAAGTGGGTGATCTGATTTTTGGTATAAGCCAAATTATTCATTATCCTAAGTTAACAAATAGTATCATATAAAAAAGAAAAGTTACCTTTTAAGTTTGGCTCTCAAGACATTGTTTTTCATAGTTAGTTGCATTTCATTTGATACACTTATAACAATTTGTGGGTAATATTCAACATTGTTCTGAAAACAGACGGCTACTTTTTCAAACCAGATTGTACAACAACAGTAAAAATTAAAAATAAATTAATAATTTACTTTTACATTTAAACTTTTGATATATATATATATATATATATATATATATATATATATATATATTATTTAAATTAAGTTTTCGTTTTTTTATAAAATTGAAAATGAATTATATTAAGTTTTTTTATAAAATTGAAAACTTCATTGACTACAAAATGAATGATAAACTTAAATACTGAGAATACATTAATAAAGAAAAAGAATTAGAGTGAAAAAGAAATAAGTGTAACAAGATCTAGAGCCAACAAATAAAAGTAGCAAGTAAAGGCAATACAAGGAATGGGTATGATTGTGGGACATGAACCAATCACTTGGAAAATACTATTGCTGGTAGTTATTTGACAGTGCAATGAAAGAATTTCACAAAAAAAAGTTATTACATGAGACATCTAAAATTTTTACATTTGATATTATTTTTATTTTTTTATTTTTATAATTATTTTAATTTTATATTATATATCAAATAAATGTAAAAGTATATAATCGTATTATTCGTTTTCATACAAATCCTGCGCGTAGCCTCCACAACTACTCTAATATAGTGAGACAGCACAAGTTGAAGTTTGAGTGAAAAAGAAAAGAAAAAGAAAAGCGGAAAACCTATAAAGGAAACAGAACCAGCTACTACACTCTGTAGAAGAAGGAATAAAGCATATACACCACTTTCTGCTTCAAAAATCATCAACTTTATTACTCTAATAATCAACACTTACAACCACCCTTCAAAGTTTCATCACTCCAAACCTATCCAAAACCCCAAAAACAAAAATATGCTTTAATTTATTTCATTTATCATTCTAGTTTCTTGCATAAAAAATTCATCTTTTCATCATATCATGAGATGATTATTTTCTAATCGATAGATAACCGAATTATTTTTTATTTTTCTCCTTTTTACTTTTTTTATAAATTTGATCTCTTATTATTTTAATCATATTGATTTACATGTTAACTTAACTTTTAATATTTAATGAAAATATTTGCCACGATAGCATAATACCATGACAGATTTTTATTAAATATTATATGTTAAGTTATAGGAAAGACCATAATTAATCGGTAATCAAATGCATAAAAATAAAAGGGCAAATTTGTAATATTGTGAAAATTTCAGAGATGAAAATACAATTAAGCCAAAATATTACATTGGTAATGCATATAAATTAAGTTAAAAAAAATGTCCCCATTTACCAGTTCTCCCGTCCAACTTCAAAAATCATAAAACCATGGATTGTTTTTAAAAACAATAATCCAAAACAACCTAGTCTTAAAAAGACCAATAATTACAGAAAATTAAAATTAAAAAAAAAGACAAAATATTCCACTGTACTCAAAACTCGGCCGAGTTAGCACTCGACTCGTCCAACCCGCCCCCGAGTCGGCCCCGAGTCCGACAACCCAGCCCCGAGTCAAGCAACTCTTCCCAGTCCACATCTTCCTCCTCCACCTCCTTGGCCCTCATCATCTCCAAAATCTTTCTCACCTTATGCCTAGCCCTCTCACTCCCCACTTTCTCCACCTTCTGCAACACCTCCACCAGCCCCGCCGCCTTTGCAACCGCCTTAAATCTCAAACCCCCGTGACTCAAGGCGTACATTACCGTTACACAACTCTCCCGAGTCGACCCGGCAGCCGAGTCGGGTACATTCAACAACCCGACCAAACACTCCACAACACCCGCATCCAACATCGCGGCCCGTCCGTCCGACCCGGAACCCAAGTTTCCCAAAATCAATAAAACCCGGCCCGTCATGTGACCCAATTTAACCATACTTAAAAGAACCGGAACCGAACCGAGTTTAACCATCTTGGACCGGTTACTCTGAACCAAAGACAAATGGTAAAGCGCCAAGGCCGAGTCGTGCCGAGTCCGCTCGCTCTCGACTCGGAGCATCTGAAGCAGCGGACCCAAACCACCCAGAACACCAATGGCGGTTTTGTTATCGTCTTCGAGAGATAAACTGAACAACGCGCCAGCACAGTGTTCCTGCGCCTCAGGGGATCCAAATTTCAGAACCTCGATCAACGGTGGCACCATCCCCGACCGCACGATCTTCACTTTGTTACTCTTCTCCAGAGAAAGGTTCACCAATGAAGCCAAAGCGTTCACCTGGACGTTCACGTGTTTCGACAGCACGAGGGAGCGTAACGCAGAGAGTATCCGCGGAGTGCAGAGTTGAACCCGGGTTTCTTCTCTCACTCGGGTGAGTTTTCTCAGAGAGAGAAGCGCTTCCTCGACTATGTTCTGTAGTGGGCTTTTGAGCTTCCCCGTGATTTCTTCTTCTTCTGGGGTTGCGGCGGGTTCGATTTCTGACGAGGAAGGGGAAGAATAGTAGCAACAACTGGGGCGCGTGGCGAGTTGAAACGGCGGCGTTGAGGCCGACGATGTGGCTATGGATTCCTCGGAGCTCGTGTACAGATGCGTCGGTCTTATGGGCACCTCGGTTTCCGCGTGGCGGCGGAGGTTGTTCGAGGGTGGGTTTTCGTCCAGGGAATCCAGGATCGGATCTCTGTCGGAGAGCTTTTCTTCTACGGTACCGACGTTCGGGGAGATCGAGGTTTGTACGAGGTTTGAGTTGGGGGTGTCTGGGGAAATCGAGGTGTGTTGTACTAGTTTCGTGTCAGGGGAGATTGAGGTTTGCTGCACGAGGTTGTTGTGGGGGAGAGGAGGGGGTGTGTGGGTGGTGTGGCACCACTTGAGGATGGCGGATTTAAGGGCGAGGTTGGGGATGAGGGTGGAGAAATCGGGGGTAGTGCCGTCGGGGAGTTGTGGTGTAAAGTTGAGATTTTTACAGGCTTCGACGGAGGAGCGTTCGAAGGAGTGGCCGGAGGAGACGATGACGGGGTCGAACATGAGGGAACGGGAAACGGGGCAGAGGAACTCATCTGGGGGGGTTTGGATTTTGGGTTTGGTTTTAGTGTGAAAGAAGATTTTCTTCCATTTGAGCCTGGGAGTTGCAGTGGTGTTTATCGGTTCTGAATCTTTTGATGTTTTCTTTGGTGACGATGGCCATTTCTTGTGGATGGTGAGCTTCAGCGATTGTTGAATTTATACATCTGCTCGATCGGACACGTACTAAGGAGTTCCGATCGGACTTATCAGGCTGGAACACCCGATCGGTTATGTTTAGCCTTTCCGATCGGTTGCCCGCCCTCGGTAGTAACATTGTAGAAAAAATATATGTGAAATAAAGTCGTATTTTAAAAATCATATATCTATCTATTGTAATAAATTTAGAATTCATCCATTTATTTATTTTTTAAAAATATCCACTTTAGTTTTCTTAAAAACTAAGTTGGTTAAATCTATCATTTTCCTTAAAAAATAAAGTTGGGAAAATCTAAATTTTGAAGCCCACACTAAAATAAATTAGGTCTTTTCCATGTTAACTGTTCTTATTTTTGACAAAAATTGAATTTGGTGGAAGTGGGTGATCTGATTTTTGGTATAAGCCAAATTATTCATTATCCTAAGTTAACAAATAGTATCATATAAAAAAGAAAAGTTACCTTTTAAGTTTGGCTCTCAAGACATTGTTTTTCATAGTTAGTTGCATTTCATTTGATACACTTATAACAATTTGTGGGTAATATTCAACATTGTTCTGAAAACAGACGGCTACTTTTTCAAACCAGATTGTACAACAACAGTAAAAATTAAAAATAAATTAATAATTTACTTTTACATTTAAACTTTTGATATATATATATATATATATATATATATATATATATATATATATTATTTAAATTAAGTTTTCGTTTTTTTATAAAATTGAAAATGAATTATATTAAGTTTTTTTATAAAATTGAAAACTTCATTGACTACAAAATGAATGATAAACTTAAATACTGAGAATACATTAATAAAGAAAAAGAATTAGAGTGAAAAAGAAATAAGTGTAACAAGATCTAGAGCCAACAAATAAAAGTAGCAAGTAAAGGCAATACAAGGAATGGGTATGATTGTGGGACATGAACCAATCACTTGGAAAATACTATTGCTGGTAGTTATTTGACAGTGCAATGAAAGAATTTCACAAAAAAAAGTTATTACATGAGACATCTAAAATTTTTACATTTGATATTATTTTTATTTTTTTATTTTTATAATTATTTTAATTTTATATTATATATCAAATAAATGTAAAAGTATATAATCGTATTATTCGTTTTCATACAAATCCTGCGCGTAGCCTCCACAACTACTCTAATATAGTGAGACAGCACAAGTTGAAGTTTGAGTGAAAAAGAAAAGAAAAAGAAAAGCGGAAAACCTATAAAGGAAACAGAACCAGCTACTACACTCTGTAGAAGAAGGAATAAAGCATATACACCACTTTCTGCTTCAAAAATCATCAACTTTATTACTCTAATAATCAACACTTACAACCACCCTTCAAAGTTTCATCACTCCAAACCTATCCAAAAACCCAAAAACAAAAATATGCTTTAATTTATTTCATTTATCATTCTAGTTTCTTGCATAAAAAATTCATCTTTTCATCATATCATGAGATGATTATTTTCTAATCGATAGATAACCGAATTATTTTTTATTTTTCTCCTTTTTACTTTTTTTATAAATTTGATCTCTTATTATTTTAATCATATTGATTTACATGTTAACTTAACTTTTAATATTTAATGAAAATATTTGCCACGATAGCATAATACCATGACAGATTTTTATTAAATATTATATGTTAAGTTATAGGAAAGACCATAATTAATCGGTAATCAAATGCATAAAAATAAAAGGGCAAATTTGTAATATTGTGAAAATTTCAGAGATGAAAATACAATTAAGCCAAAATATTACATTGGTAATGCATATAAATTAAGTTAAAAAAAATGTCCCCATTTACCAGTTCTCCCGTCCAACTTCAAAAATCATAAAACCATGGATTGTTTTTAAAAACAATAATCCAAAACAACCTAGTCTTAAAAAGACCAATAATTACAGAAAATTAAAATTAAAAAAAAAGACAAAATATTCCACTGTACTCAAAACTCGGCCGAGTTAGCACTCGACTCGTCCAACCCGCCCCCGAGTCGGCCCCGAGTCCGACAACCCAGCCCCGAGTCAAGCAACTCTTCCCAGTCCACATCTTCCTCCTCCACCTCCTTGGCCCTCATCATCTCCAAAATCTTTCTCACCTTATGCCTAGCCCTCTCACTCCCCACTTTCTCCACCTTCTGCAACACCTCCACCAGCCCCGCCGCCTTTGCAACCGCCTTAAATCTCAAACCCCCGTGACTCAAGGCGTACATTACCGTTACACAACTCTCCCGAGTCGACCCGGCAGCCGAGTCGGGTACATTCAACAACCCGACCAAACACTCCACAACACCCGCATCCAACATCGCGGCCCGTCCGTCCGACCCGGAACCCAAGTTTCCCAAAATCAATAAAACCCGGCCCGTCATGTGACCCAATTTAACCATACTTAAAAGAACCGGAACCGAACCGAGTTTAACCATCTTGGACCGGTTACTCTGAACCAAAGACAAATGGTAAAGCGCCAAGGCCGAGTCGTGCCGAGTCCGCTCGCTCTCGACTCGGAGCATCTGAAGCAGCGGACCCAAACCACCCAGAACACCAATGGCGGTTTTGTTATCGTCTTCGAGAGATAAACTGAACAACGCGCCAGCACAGTGTTCCTGCGCCTCAGGGGATCCAAATTTCAGAACCTCGATCAACGGTGGCACCATCCCCGACCGCACGATCTTCACTTTGTTACTCTTCTCCAGAGAAAGGTTCACCAATGAAGCCAAAGCGTTCACCTGGACGTTCACGTGTTTCGACAGCACGAGGGAGCGTAACGCAGAGAGTATCCGCGGAGTGCAGAGTTGAACCCGGGTTTCTTCTCTCACTCGGGTGAGTTTTCTCAGAGAGAGAAGCGCTTCCTCGACTATGTTCTGTAGTGGGCTTTTGAGCTTCCCCGTGATTTCTTCTTCTTCTGGGGTTGCGGCGGGTTCGATTTCTGACGAGGAAGGGGAAGAATAGTAGCAACAACTGGGGCGCGTGGCGAGTTGAAACGGCGGCGTTGAGGCCGACGATGTGGCTATGGATTCCTCGGAGCTCGTGTACAGATGCGTCGGTCTTATGGGCACCTCGGTTTCCGCGTGGCGGCGGAGGTTGTTCGAGGGTGGGTTTTCGTCCAGGGAATCCAGGATCGGATCTCTGTCGGAGAGCTTTTCTTCTACGGTACCGACGTTCGGGGAGATCGAGGTTTGTACGAGGTTTGAGTTGGGGGTGTCTGGGGAAATCGAGGTGTGTTGTACTAGTTTCGTGTCAGGGGAGATTGAGGTTTGCTGCACGAGGTTGTTGTGGGGGAGAGGAGGGGGTGTGTGGGTGGTGTGGCACCACTTGAGGATGGCGGATTTAAGGGCGAGGTTGGGGATGAGGGTGGAGAAATCGGGGGTAGTGCCGTCGGGGAGTTGTGGTGTAAAGTTGAGATTTTTACAGGCTTCGACGGAGGAGCGTTCGAAGGAGTGGCCGGAGGAGACGATGACGAGGTCGAACATGAGGGAACGGGAAACGGGGCAGAGGAACTCATCTGGGGGGGTTTGGATTTTGGGTTTGGTTTTAGTGTGAAAGAAGATTTTCTTCCATTTGAGCATGGGAGTTGCAGTGGTGTTTATCGGTTCTGAATCTTTTGATGTTTTCTTTGGTGACGATGGCCATTTCTTGTGGATGGTGAGCTTCAGCGATTGTTGAATCTCCATAGATGGTTGAGGCTGTGCCCTCTCTCACACCGTTGAATGTGAGAGAGTTAATCGGAGGTTGTCATTGGAGTTCCAAGGATATAAGAACATTGATGATGTTACTGAGGTTAGTGTTTTTTGGGCTTGCAGACGTTGAAGAATAGAGGGTTTTGTGAGTGAAATGATGATTTGGTGTTGGGAGAGAGAGATTGGATTCCTTTGCTTTTGGAAAATCTGCCCAATTGGAAAGGGGTTAAAGGGAAAGTTAAGAACTTGTATGAGCAGTGATGATGATATGAAGAAACATCTTCAACATCAATGCAATGAGCACTGCATTAGCCTGTCATTATAATCAATGATGTTTAAGTATACTCTGTTTTCATATAAATATGTTTAAGAATAATTATAAATAGACTTGTGAATATTCAAATTTATAATAATAACTAAATTGATGTATATTCATAAATTTATATAACATTTTGTTTGCAATGTTGAAATAAATTACTAAATATAACAAAACTTCATTCTAATTAAAAATTATATGTTTTTGAAATTTTATATATTATATTAAAATGAAGAGTAGCAGTATCGTTTAATAAATTTTACATTCATTTGACGATTGATGTGTTCATTTTATTATTATTTTAATTAGGATAATTATGTCATTTTGTATATAAGTTTATTTTTGTTTTCCTGTTTAGAATCTCACACTTTCAATTTGTTCTTGTTCTAATAATTTTGATTTCGATCATAGTTTTTGGTCGGATGTCAGTAATATAATGAACTCAACAAAACAACGTAAACAGGACAGTTAAATAATGGAGTATGTTAGAGATAAGTAAAGAAAGCTCGAATAGTATAAAAAAGACAGAGAAATACGTATATACGCATTACTTTTTAAAGTAAAATATAAGTATGTTATGAAATATTGTCTCGTCCAAAGTAAATACAATATAAAATTAATGTTAAAATTTATAAATAGAAATACATACAAATATATAAACAGAAATATATTAGAATATAAAGTCAAATAAATTATTGTTTTTAATGATAAATATTAAGGTTAAAAACTAATATTTATCAATGAATAAATTTTAAATTAGATTTCCTTAACTAAATATTATATTAAGTGAAATATTTTAGGGTTAAATATGTTTTTAGTCTGTCTCTCAAAGTAAGGTACATTTTAATCCTCCTCCTTCAAGAAATTTTAATTTTCCGTCTTCCAAAACTAACCGCGTTAAAAAGAAGCTGAGCTGGCTAATGGTGAAGTGTCACGTCATTTCTTTCCTGACACTGAGTTAATTTGTCCCCCACCGTCCGGTTACCATCATTATTCAGTCACCATCACCGTTCGGTTACCATTACCATTCAGTCGTCATAATCGTTCGGCCATTACCAATACTGTTCGGTTACCGTTACCATTCAGTCGGTTACCGTTACCATTCAGTCGTCATAACCGTTCGGCCATTACCAATACTGTTCGGTCACCATCACCATTCAGTCATCATAACCGTTCGACCATTAACAATTTTGTTCGGTCATTACGGTAAGGGACAGATTGACTCTGTCACACAAAAAAAATGACATGACACTCCACCGTTACCCAGCTCAGCTTTTTTTTTAACGCCGTTGGTTTTTTAGGACGAAAAATTATGGTTTCCGGAAGGAGGAGAACTAAAATGTACGTTACTTTGAAAGAGAGACTAAAAACAAATTTGCTTGATAGATCAGGACTAAAAACATATTTAACCCTTAATTTTTCTATACAAGCATATAACTTACACTACATTCCTATATTAAGATATCCATTAGATGTAAATAATTTTTTTAAATAATTTAAAATAAGAATAATAAAGAAACCTTAAAAGGACGTTACGTCACAAGTAAATGCATGTATATTTGGTCCCACAATGTAAATCTGTTTATACATTTAATAAATTATTATTTATTTGGTTTAATCATTCAGTAGATCCCATTTTTGGATGGAAATCTCAAATTGATCATCTTCTTTTTTAGCGTTTTAATTGGATTCTTATTTTGTAAAAGTTACAACAATTAGACCCTACCATTAAATTGGATCCAACAACGTTAATGTATGGTTGACATGGCACACTGATCTTCATTTTTAAATGACGTGTTCATGTTATTTATGAATAGGAAAGTTTTATGTGGAATTTTATTTTTTAAAATTAAAAAAATTGGAAAAAATTAATTACACAGACTTGGAAATCAAGAGAAATTGGAAATTTGATTTTAAAGTTCATTAGGAATCAATTAGAAAAATTAGAAATTTCGTTTTAGGATTCAATCACAATAGAAATTTGGGAATCAAATTTGGGAATCAATAAAAAAAATTGGGGGATTTGACAGGTTTTGGACGCGCGAAGGTTTTGCAACAATCGCAAGGTAGAAGAGGAGACAACTGAGGTATAGTAATAAACTTTGAAAGAGTTTTCTATAAGCTGAAATCATTTCAGTATCCCAAAATAAAATAAAGAATATCTCCATCAAGTATCCTTATGATACAGAGAAATGTAACACTATGAAAGTGCATATGGTGGCCATTGGAAAAAAAAGTCTTTCTTATATCTTCTTTTAAGAAAATAATTTCAGAGTCACTTGTTATGATTTTGCTGTGTGAGTTAATTCCTTTAACCTTGTATTATGATTTTAGATATAACTCATGTATCATCTTTCTCTGAAGAAGAAAAAGATGATCTTATTTAAACTAACATTAGAAGTTGAGTCCGAAGCAAAAACATTAATGAGAACAATTTCTAAAATTAATTCTCAATTTGTATGAATCCTAAAATCAAACTTCCTTTTTTCCAATTCCTAATTCGAACAAGTATGCAGTTTAATGTTTAATTCATTTTTACTATTTTTTTATTTAAGAAAATCAAAAAGACTCAAAATCACATATATCAAATAAAAAACTTTATATCATTTAAAAATGAAGATCAACACGTCACGTCAACTATACATTGATACGCTCAGTTTAATAACATGGTCTAATTGTCATAATTTTCACAAAATAACAAATTCTACCCAAAAATAGGATATGCGGAATGATTAAACTTATTTATTTCATTTGATTAATGAGTGCAGTTTAGTTGGTACAATAGTGTCTGTGAATTTTGTACAGGAATAGAAAAACAATTAAAGTAGGTTTGAAAGTGATCCTGCATTTGATGTCAATGTTCAGAGATTGTAACACATGCATCCAAGCCAATAGAACAAAAACTCTTTTCAAGTTTCAAAGTGTTATTTGGTGGAAACAACTTTGCCCTTTTACACAGATTCCAACAGTCAAAGACTCCATTTTATAATCACAATTTCCATAACTTATTACTAGTTTGCTTTCAGTTACAAATGTTAATAAAGTTTCACATTACAAACTTATTTACTGAATTCTACATGTTTCAATTCTTATATAAAAACAAATTAAAACGCAGTAATAATGTATTTATTCTTCCATTATTTATCAACTTAGCAGCTATAAATTTATCCAAAGTTAAAAAAGTTAGGTGTGTTCTCAATTCATGTAAGAAATATTATATTCTGAAATTGACATAAACAAGGTCTATAAAAATGGTCAAATATATAAGATAGAAAAGATAATATATTTAGACACTTTAGTTAGACAACCTTAAGCCCTAATTGAAAGGTCCTATGAAAAAGCTCTAATTTTGACAAAATGTAGGTTATAACTATTTTGTACTATATATAATTTTCAGTTTGTTTACAGGATGCATCATAAAAAATTTCAAATCAAGAAAAAAATAAATTACGCATGATATCAAAATTTGATCCAATCATAATAATCAATACCAAATAATATTTTCTTCTGATTTTTCCCTCTTGAAAGTCTAGAAGAATATTGAATATAAAAACAATTCAGGTATATCAAAAAGGTTGATCAACACTTAATATATACATTAGATACCGAATAAAAAAAATAGATTTATGAAATATATACTGTGATACTAAAATAAATAAAAAAATGCAATAAAAAAAAAAATATATATATATATATATATATATATAATTAATTAATTAATTAATTTGTTCCAATATTAAGTATGTCAAATAATATCATTAACATCGATTATTATATATTTATGGTATTGTTCATTTTAAATACTAAAATTTTGTTACGATTTTAATTTTAAAAAACGATTAAGAAAATGGAAGAAAAAAAATTTAAATTACATTTGACATAAATTTCTAAATTATGTGAGGTTATTAGACATATGTTGAATAATAAATTGGATAATGATACTTTGACAACAATTTTTTGACAATATTTTAACACTATCGATCTGTCATTCTGTGATTGATCCATGTTGGTGTTTATGATGATTATTATTGATTATGGAGTAATTTTGAACCAATCACAGAATGACATGGTGTTAAAATGTTGTTAAAAAAATGTTGTGTATTATTATTTATAATAAATTATGAAAAAAAAATAGGCATAGAGGAAGATATAGGTGAGGAAAGTGTAAGCTATTCCTTTGAGGCAATCAACACAAAAAGGTAAAACAAAATGTTGTTTTGTCTGGAGGAGACCCCACATGTAACCTTTTCAATTTTTGACTATTTTTTTATGCATAATTTTGTGGACGTCAAATGGTATCTTAGCATGCAATGCTTTCGTTTGCATGGAGAATGTTGTTTTAATGTTTTTCCAACCAAAGCCACCATTTGTCATTATAATTATTGCAATCTTAATAGCTAAGTCTACGTCGCACTAAGAACCCTTTATCAAACCTATTTGTATATATATATATATCTTCCTTTATTTGCTAAAAGTGATCGATTCCTTTTGCATTTTCCTACCCCACTTCTTTACTCTCCCAAAATAATATTTTTTTCAATATTAAATTATTGTGCTCTTCACTATAATAATCATGTGAGAAAAATATTCAAATATTTAAACTCAACATTGTAGTTTTTTAGCAAGGAATCATCAAATTTTGATCTTAATTTTGGTTCCTTGCTTGTCCATTTAGTCCTTAGACATTGAGCTTTTATGTGTTTTATAACTCATGCAAGGTGAGAACATTCAAGTGACCACTTCTTTATATTTATACAATTTGTTTCTTAATTTTTTTTTGAAAAAAATAAATATATTAACAATAAACACTATGCTATTTAGCTTTTATTAAAGAAATGTAAACCTGTTAAATCTAAACAAGTGTTAGAATACTTAAATGTAATTATAATTGACACTTATTAATGAAATTTTTTAATTTTTAAATAATAAAATATAACTATGATCTTTCTTTCTTGGTTTAATCCTTTACTACATCCCTATTTATGTACGAATTTCTCAATTGGATCCTCGTTTTTTAGAGTGTATCAAAATGGTC